GGGGAGATAGTAGACATACCCATATCTGGGTTCCAGTTGTGAGGATTTAGCAAGCAAAAGTGGGTAGCCTTAAAAAACATATTCTCTGTTGTGTTTTAATGTATTTACATAGGAAACGATGCTTTCCAGGGATGTTTTAAACATAAACTGTTGTGCATATAAGGAACCTTTGGCACAGGCAACATTTAATCCTCAGTGGTTATTATTACTAGCAAATTCCAGCTCTCTTAAAAAGTTTTCCCAACTCATTAGACTTAGAGTACTGCAAGTCACTTCTGTTCATAGAAATTATTCATTAATTCCCACAAAAATTAAGTATATAGCTTAATTTTAAAGAATTATTTCCCTGCATTTCCAGTCCTGGGGATATCAAATGTACTATGCTCAATAAAGCATGTGGACCTGTCTCCTCAAATATGTCAGAATTCACTGCAGCCCAGATTTTCATTTTTATGTAATTACAATTGCCACTGTCTATTTTTTGTTTATATTTATGTGGGGTGTTTTGGGGTGGGGGGGGCCTGGAATAAAAAGAATTCCTGAAGCAATAAAAATAGACCTTTCGGATATGGATTGAATTCTCTGATTTGCTAGTATCTAGATGTTATGGATTCCAGCTTTGTTTCCCTCCCCCCCATTCATATTTGAAATCCTACCCCTTAATGTGGTGGTATTTAGAAGTAGGGCCTTTGAGAAGTGATTGGGTTTAGAGATCATGAAGGTAGAGCCTCATCATATGATCAGTGTCCTTACAAGAAGAGAAAAAAAATAGATCTCTCTCTCTCTCTCTCTCTCTGCCAGGCACAGTGAGAAAATGGCCATTTTCAAACCAGAAAAAAGGCTCTGCCCAGAACTCTACCATCTGGTCTTCTGATCTCAGACTTTCCAGCATCCAGAACTGTGAAAAATTAATTTCTGTTATTTAAACTCCCAGTCTAGTGAATTGAATTGTGTTAAAGCTGGCTGAAGTGACTAAGACTCTCGATAATTACTCTACAGGAAAGAGTTCATTTTTAAGCAGAGCATTTGTGTATAAACCATAGAGGTGGTGAAGATGGAGAGGACTGCTAATACAGGACTTTGAGAACAGAGAACAAATAGAACAAATAAGATGATGGCTCAAGAACATGTAGCAACGCACAATATTATTTTGGGGAAACACACACAAAGAGATCTATTGATATGTTCACTTGTTTTCTCAGGACAAAATGATCAGCCAAGTACAGTTAATTAACAGTGAAAAATAATTAAAAATAAATACCGGTTGAAAACTGTCAACACAACAGAGAAAAATAAGTACAAAAGCAAATCCACAAAACAATAGAAATTGGCAACTGCTTTAACCGGCAGAAGCAAAGATTAATTCAAGTAGTGATAATAATTAATAGAAGCCCCAGATTCAAGGATTGTTGGCCAAAGATTGCTTTAGGAATACGGATGACAGAACCTAGGGTAGTCTGACAGTGACATTGTGTGTTGTCATTTATAAAGGGAAAGCATTTGCATGTGTTATATAGTTACCAGGGCTGAATTTAATTTAGTAAATTTAATTACTAAACCTTAATCATGCTTCTGATAATATAGACCAAAAGAGAGGGAGAGAGAGAGAGAGGGGAGAGAGAGGGAGAGAGATATCTCCTAGTGGGGTGAGCACAGTGGGTCAACATGAGCATGCTTTTCTTCCATGGATTCTTGGTAATCTTGTGCTTCTTCCATAGAAATGGAAGTATAGATTATAGAATAATCTGTGTAGGTTGCTCTATAGTTCTGAATTAAAGAACAGCAGAAATGTTATCAATCTGTTTATTCTGTAACCATTATTGCTTTCTGAGTTTTGCAGGCAAGTTAGTCATTTCAGAGACATAATATTATAGGAAAGCAGGTAAACTGTTAACTTGACTGTTTAAATCTCTGAATTTAGGTCTCTCTGTCCCTACAAACTCAGTATTAATATTTTCCCCTGTCTTTCTCATTTCCTTTGACCTTCAAGGCACAGTTATTTCAAAATATCATGGGGTTAACTGGATCACTGTATGATAAGAAACCTCTCTGGATGCCCTGGGCTAGTTCTTGCTAGGACAGCTAACTCCATATTTATTCTAATGTCAACTTAGGGCAGGTTTCTTATTCTGATCTTAATCTTTCAGCCAGTAGAATATTAGCGGTAAAGTATTAATAGTTTTGAAATGAGGAAACTATTTTTGTGTGAAATAAGGTCCTGGTAAAACTTCATGCTTAAGGGAGGATAGATTTGCTAGTACAAAGCCAACGGGTGCATCCGAGTTAACCTGGGAGGCACCTCCTATGAAGACAGAGGCTCTCACATGTGCAGTTTTCTGTTTCTGTCTCAAATTTTCCCATTTTTAAAAAGTTTATTTATTTACTAAGCAAGAGAGAGAGAGGGAGGGGGAGAGAGAGAGAGAGAGAGAGAGAGAGAGAGAGAGAACATGAATGGGTAAGGAGAAGAGGCAGAGAGAAGGAGAGCAAATCCCAAGCAGGCTATGCACTGTTAGCCCTGATGTGGGGCTTGAACTTACAAACCATGAGATCATGACCTGAGCTGAAATCAAGATTTGGATGCTTAACTGACTGAGCAACCCAGGCACTGCTCAAATTTTCCCAATTTTATGTGGATATTCAGCAATATATAAACAAAGATTTTAAAAAATAAGTCATGCATGAATTTAGAAAAGAAATTTTTATTTGATTCTCTAATACACACACACACATACGTGCACACACACACACACATACACACACACTATGTATTTATATTCAGTTTGTCATTAATTCAACCAGCTCTGCCATTCTTTTTCCATTTTCCAAGTCCATCAGTCATTCCCTTTTCCAAAGATTGGCAATTAAAGATTTTTAAAATGCTGTTTTAATTTCAACTATTTTACTGTGGATTGCAGATAAGTTTTCCAAGATCAACCTATTTCCCTCTCCACCCCAAATCCATATCTTATGCAAGCCTGAAGGAGAAAATGCTAGACATTTCTGTGAGCATAAGGAACATGCTGTGGTTTAGTCCTTAACAGGTCAACAAGTGAGGAAATTACTGTAAATATTGAGTGTTAAGTTTTTTTTTAACTTTCACCCTGTCTAGCCTAATAAAATAAAAACTTGGGCTACTATCCACTTCTTTTGTTTTATTTGTTTTTCCAAGACAGTTCACACAGGCATCTTCCCCTTCCTCTCTCTACCATGTACCATTCTTATTCCAAGAACCATTGTAAACTACTCAGATTTTTTTGGAACCATTAAATTCTCAGAGTTTAATAGATGAACAAGAAACACTTTCCCTCATACTCAGATTTCACGTAGCACAAGGAGACAGGGAAGAAGTAAAAGTGTTTTATTTTTTTTTAATGTTTTATTTATTTCTAAGAGAGAGAGAGACAGCGTGAGCAGGGGAGGGCCAGAGAGAGGGAGTCACAGACTGAAACAGGCTCCAGGCTCTGAGCTGGCAGTCAGCACAGAGCCCGACGTGGGGCTCGAACCCACGAACCGCGAGATCATGACCTAAGCGAAAGTCGGACGCTTACCCGACTAAGCCACCCAGGCGCCCCTAAGTAAAAGTGTTTTTAAAAGACTGGTTTTATGATGTAGAGAGAAGATTAAAGTACGGCTTCAGATTTCAAAAGAGAGAACACTCCAGAGGATCCCCAGAGAAAATTGCTAGTGGAGATTTTCCGAATCAGCATGTATGTTTATTTCAGTACCACCATCGTCAACATCATTATTTTGAGAAGAGACAGTTCAAATTGCATTACATTTAGAGGCTACTATCACCCCCTGCAGACATGGTGTTAAAGACCAGTTTAGGGGCGCCAGGGCGGCTCAGTAGGTTGAGTGTCCGACTTCAGCTCAGGTCATGATCTCATGGTTCGTGAGTTCAAGCCTCGCATTGGGCTCTGGGCTGACAGCCCAAAGCCTGGAACCTGCTTCAGATTCTGTGTCTCCATCTCTCTCATCCCCTCCCCTGCTCGTGCTCTGCTTCTCTCTCTCCCTCAAAAATAAATAAACATTTAAAAAAAAACAGTTTAAAGACCAGTTTAGTTAACACCTGATATAATTCAGTTCAATAAATCCAGTCAACTTATCTTGTAAATATTTTATACAGAAATATCAGCCATTTATATAAATGCAGGACTCTTGTTCCATCTGAAGAATTTTAGTTCCTTTAGTTTAAGAAGAGCAGCAAACATGGAGCCACAAAGTAAGCTAACCCTGTCAAATCACTTCTTCCATTGCTATTGTGAGTGCTCGCTACATAGGAAAGTCATGTGGATGAATTCATTGTTTTTGCAAATGTTTTTCTTACAAATCAAGATTATCAGGAAAATACCAAGAAGTAGTTTTCCTGGGTCAAAAGAAAACAATACATGTTTGGTGCCACGGAGGAGCACAACCTTGTGTATTTAATTACTTTTGTCTAATTTTGCCCTTTGGTGTGATCTGTTCCCTGACTGCACCACGGTAGAGCATGCTTTGAGGTTGTAGACAAATTAAATCAACGGTTTGGATTACATGTGTCCCAAAGAATGTGGTTTTCCAGGTCTGAGCCATCTAGCAATCCCCTACTCTCCTTTCACTTTGGCATTTTGACAGTCCTAGCCAATTTCTGAGGTGGATATTTTATTTTGTACCTTGCTCACAGCAGCTTTTATAAAGAGTTGCAGAACTGCCTGTACAAAGTACACCTTTGATGTTTGCAAGAGGTTGGTGCATTTCTCGATGATTGTGCAAACATTCATATTTATGCCCACAGGTAAACACACTGCTGTCTTCTTGGAAAACAGAGAAGTACAAAGAATGTTTATGTGCGGGCCAGTCATTCCAAGTATCTTTTGTCGGTTTAGACACACCTGGGTTACCATCCCCCTTCTTATTGGCCGAGAAAGTTGCCCCACCTGATTTGTAAGTTTACCTGTCCTAGTCAATGTGTGTGCGTGTGAGTGTGTGTGTGTGTGTTGGGGGGGGGGGGGTTGCTCAGCCAGCCCGCACTGGATTTAATCTAGCTAGAAGTAGCCAGGCAGCTCTTTGAAAAACCACTGGGCTCTGAGTTCATTGCTACAGGAAAATTGTTCTCTGCTGAGGCACAGAGAAATCTGCTTCAGAACAACCCTACAGGCTCAAGCGTTTAGTGGGAGAAAACCTGACCCGGAGGATCATGGCTACTTACGCCCTGCAAATCGCTGGACTGGTGCTCGGTGGCGTTGGCATGGTGGGCACGCTGGCCGTCACCATCATGCCTCAGTGGAGAGTGTCTGCCTTCATTGGGAGCAACATTGTGGTTTTCGAAAACTTCTGGGAAGGACTGTGGATGAATTGCGTGAGGCAAGCCAACATCAGGATGCAGTGCAAAGTCTATGACTCCCTGCTGGCTCTCTCTCCGGACCTGCAGGCATCCAGGGGGCTGATGTGTGCCGCTTCCGTGCTGTCCTTCCTGGCTTTCATGACTGCCGTCCTGGGCATGAAGTGCACCAGGTGCACCGGGGACGACGAGAAGGCGAAGGGTCATATCTTGCTAACGGCTGGAATCATCTTCATTGTCACGGGTCTCCTAGTGCTCATCCCTGTGAGCTGGGTTGCCAGTTCCATCATCAGAGAGTTCTACAACCCGATAGTGGAGACTGCCCAAAAACACGAGCTTGGAGAGGCTCTCTACATAGGCTGGACCACGGCGCTGGTGCTGATTGCTGGAGGGGCACTGTTGTGCTGTGTTTCTTGTGCCAGTGAGAAGAGTGGCAGCTACAGATACTCCGTACCCTCCCATCACACAACCCAAAAGAGCTATCACATGGACAAGAAGTCACCGAGCGTGTACTCCAGAAGTCAGTATGTGTAGTATTGTGTCTAGTTTTTAACTTTACTGATAAAGCCATGCCAGTGACTAAAATGCCCATGGTTCTCTAAGAATGGAACCCAAAGGAACATTGATTTGCCACTCTTAACTGCCTAACATTTATTATAGTAACTGTGCATTGGTTATGTATGCTTCTATAAGCTATTTCAGCAGAAAGAAATATTACACACCACGCTTTGATTGTTCAGGGAAGCATAGTATTGTTTTCTAAAATGATTCACGCATCTTTGCCTTTCACCAGTTACTTCAAAATGACATTGTTAAAGACTGTATTGTTGTACAAGCGTGATTTCTCTATGACACAGCATTATGTACGTAGATCAGCATGACGTTTGTATCTCACATAAAGAGAGACAGGCTTATACGGTTCTGTTTTAAATGAAATACTGATTCAATACACTGAATAAATAGAACTCAGCTGTTGCTTTTGAAGGGAATCAGGGATACGCTTGAAGAAGGTTAATATTAATTGTGTAAAAACAGCTTAGTGATTAATGAGCTTGATTCCTAACGAAGGTTAAAATGGAGGTTTTAATCAGCAGCGTAAAGGAAGCTAAATGGCTTTATGATATCCTGTTTTTCAGCCTAGAAGTTAGAAATCCTAACCCCTTTATCCTATGTCCCCAGAGGCCTTTCTTTTCTTGTATATTAAATGAATATATTTTAAAAGGCAGATATTTTGTCAAGGAGCTTTGCATTCACACTGCTTTTCCAGGGCTATCCTGAGAAGAAAGATAAAACTATAGTCCAAGAAACATTAAAAACTTCTCGAAAGGGAATTTTGTTTTTCCCCTGAGGCTTTTATGGTTGGAGGAGGATGCTTTTTGACAGGAAATCATATATGTATGTGAATCTTTTAATACCTATTTGAATATAGACTTTGGGCATTTGTCAATATAAATAACAGGATAGGAAAATAATATGCCTTGGTTTTTAGTTGCTTACCCCAAAAACAAACCAAGTTGTCCTTTGTGAACATCTGCTCCAACATCTGCTCCTAAGGTATCTGTAGATGGCCAGGTTTAAATTGTCATTTAAACTGTCATTTCAATCCCATCAAAGATAAATTATTTACTTGTTCTATTTTTTTATTCAGTCTTTCTGAGGTATAGAAATGTTCTATCTTTGTATTTCCCCCAAATTGGGTCCAACTGATAATTCAATTTGAAAGTTTGTATCCATATTGTTCTAACTTAAAAGACTATATATATATATATATATATCTGCTTTGTGTCCTTTATATTAATAAATTGTACTTTTTATATAAATTTGATACTCTTTCATTAGTCTTCATTTTTTTCAATTTATTTGTTTTAAAATCCTAATATTTTCAACTCTTTAATTTTATTTTTTACTAATTTTTTAATGTTTATTTATTTTTGAGAGGCAGTGAGAGAGAGATGGAGTGTAAGCTGGGGAGGGGCAGAGAGAAAGGGAGACACAGAATCTCAAACACGCTCCAGGCTCTGAGCTGTCAACACAGAGCCTGACGTGGGTTTCAAACTCATGAACAGTGAGATCCTGACCTGAGCCCAAGTCGGACGCCCAGCGGACTGAGCCACCCAGGTGCCCCTCAACTCTTCAATTATAAAAAGAGGCCACATTTTAAAGATAAAGGTAGATTTAGCATTAATTTTTGAGAATATAAAATACTATGTGTTATTTAACAACATTATCCCTTATAACCATTGGATTCATACACTAATATTTGATGCAGACAATATACTTGTAATTTATTAAGATAGTGTTATAGGTTCTAACAAATTGATATACTGTAAATATTATGTATGTTTAAGCCATTTCTATTAAACCATTATTGAGCCATTTTTGTAGAAACTTTTCATAGCTAAATAAATTTCTACATCTGAGAAATAGCATTAATTAATACTAGTGACTAATGTTTTAGGGACGCAAACTATATGTGAGGATCTCTACTGTTTTATATAAATTATATCAATAAATATCATGCGATTGATATAATTAGTTCGATGCACAGATGAGGACACCTGAGAATAGTTCACTGATTACCCAGCAGAGTCAGGAGAAAGAATAAGGACCATGTGACTTCACAGCTCATTCTCTTTTTCTTCAGGGAAAGTAGATTCTACTGAAAGCTAGAAGATAAACTGAAAGATTTCTACGGGGATTGAAGTTTATCAATGGATCATTGTATGTGAAGATGACATGTTTACCTAGTATTAGTTGAGAAGATTTTTAGTGTTTTTTTTTTTTTTTTCTGGGGTTGGCGATTTTGCAATAGCTAAGTGCTAATTTATCCTAGGCGTGCTTGGCCCTTTGGGTCAGACCATTGATGAGAGCAAAAATCAGGGAAAACTGAGTGCCTTGGAGAAGTAACCCAAACTTCTAAACACCAGTCTTCACCAAACGCTCTTTCTACCTCGAAACCTCTGCTGAATGTGCCAGACTCCATTTTTATTTTCCTCTTCTTTCTTCTAGAACAGAATTATAACACTGCTAACTTTTCTAATGGCGCCACCTCTTGAAATCTTTCCCCAGCATTCCATGTTTGCTGTCATCTCCTCTTTCTTACCTGGTTGAGAAAGCCCTCTAGACTCATGTCACAGCCTGCACGATCTTCTTGCCCAGCCCCCTCCACGTTTTTATCTCTGTTCTTCCTAAAATGCACCTCACCCCCTATCATCCTTGTAGAAATGCTCCGCTACCATACGGTAGGTCCAAATGCCTTAGTGGGTGATCACTGCCAGGGAATCTGTCTTACAATCTTCATGGCAAACTTTATCACACAGGAACATACTGGTGTTTAACCAGTATGATAATAATTATAAAGTCAATGTTCAGAAACCACAATAATTCACATGCCAAAGGGCTTCTTTAATATTGTGAAAAAGAAGCCTTGGAATTAGGAAATGACTCATAGCAAGTTGTGTGCAAAGGGACATTTTATAATGTAGTTTTATGGAGAAACAAAATGAAATACTAAAGAACACAGGGGACGTGGCTTGATACCCTTGCCTTAGAGCTGTTTTCCCCTCTCTTTCTTACTGTGCCACCTGCTGCCCCTTCGACTGATTCTGTATTCCAAATGACTCCCTCCTACACTGTAAGAAGCAGTTTTTAGGCTGCATTATGCTAAGTTTCAGAGATACAGAGATGTTTTTGTTTTCAAGGAATCTGTGATCTCATAGTAAGAGACAAGAGCAAGAAAAGTAGCCTTCACTCCATGCCCACCACATGCTTGGTGCTTTTTTTTCCTTTACCATATCAGTTCTCTAAGAATTCTGTAAATTACATATGAGATCATGAGAACACCATGTCTCAAAGTGATGCTGTATATAATGCACCCTGAAATAAACAAATAAATAAATTAATTAAATTTATATAAATAAATAGAAATAAATAGATGTATATATTATATATTAATAAACAAATACATAAATTTATAAGTATGTATATGTAATAATAAATAATTAACATAATAATAAACTTATGTATATATTCTATGTGTGTATTAATAAATAAATTTATTAATATGCACATAATAAATAATTCATATAACAAATATGTAAACATGTAAATAATGTATTAAAATGTATTAACATATAAAATATATAATTTTTGGAATATAAATATATAGACTATAAAATATTTAAGATTTTAAAGATATTGAATATTTTTAATTTAAAAATAGAAAATATTTTAAAATATCAAAATAAATATATTTATTTATTTATAAATATTTATATATACAATATGTATACCTTAAATCAAGAGCCTGTGTTCTCCCGGCAATATTGTCTGTCCAAAGGCATCCCTCCCAGACCAAACTCTGTGAACAGTACGTGTGACGTCACCACGTCATCTCCTAGGTCCCTGTGCCTCCCTGGTCACAGCAGTCTTTTCCCGTGACCCCCAGGGTGGCCCTTGTCACGGTGATTGCGACACTTTTCCTCCCTCCTGTCTCCTGTCTCCAACTCTACATGATTTGCGGCTTCCTAGTTCCTGGCATTAATCATTACCCTCCCCCCCCCCCCGTGGAATGCACTGTCTTTTCCTAGATTCCTGTCATAGGACTTGCATTTAATCCCTCCCAGAGCTACGTGGACCCTGCCCCTGCAGCCCTTCTTTCCAGCTCTCAGCCTGCACCCCTGTGTGCCAAGCAGAGCGGCGGCGGCGGGAACCCAGCCAACGGGCAGGGCCCAGGGCTCCGCCCGTTTAGGAGGAAAGAGCAGGGCCGTATTCAGCTCTGAGAATAACGAGAAGCGAGGGTCCCTGGCGCAGAGGTCCGAGGCCAGGCCTAAGGCTCTGAGCTGGGGGCAGGGGGGCACCGGGGGACCTGGGGGTTCTACCTGCCTCACACGCAGTCCTGGACAAGGGAGACTTCGGCACCCCTGTGTACTCACAGGGGGATAGTCTCAGAGGCCAGAAGACTCACGCAGAGGCTGGGCTCCTCCTTACTTTGGGGTGTCCGAGGGTGAGGATCCCAAGGGCTGGGTGCCCAGAGGAGACTTCCCAGGGCCCCAGCAGGGAGACGGCAACTTTCAGGTCACTGGGTCCCCAGGCGACGGTGAGGGTGGCTGCCACCCTAAGGTGCACTGTGGCTGATGACAGAAACTTAACTTCCACAAGGAAAAGAGATCCCAAAATCACATACAGGATTGAACAGCCAGAAAAAGGAAGTGCAGGCTGAATGCTCCTAACTGGCAGGCAGACCTTTGAGCAAATGGATCTGCTGGGAAAGACAGAACTTCTTACACAAATAAACCAATAAGAGACTAAAGCAGATCGAATTGCAGGATTAAAAGGCTTCTTTTACTGGGGCGCCTGGGTGGCTGAGTCGATGGAGCCACCGACTTTCACTCTGGTTATGATTTCTCAGTTATGGGCTTGTGAGTTTGAGCCCCGCATAGGGCTCGTTGCTGTCAGTGCAGAGCCTGCTCCAGATCCTCTGTCTCCCTCTCTCTCTGTCCCTCCCCTGCTTGTGCTCTCCCTCTCTCAAAACTAAACATTAACTTTTTCAAAGTCTCCTTGTTACTACAATAACATGGTTCCACATTTTAAAAGTCTACAGGGAACTGAGAGCTGAGGAGAGTCGGTGCTGAGGTAAGAACTGCATGTTTGGAAAACCAAGTAGACATAACACAGAGCAAACAAGAAATGATGCAATCCATGAGGAAAAGAACAGAGGCCTTGGAGAACCAATTCAAGGACCTAAGGGGCAAATTCGGAGAAAAATAAAGACCAGATGGAAGGAGGGGTGGTCCCTGAAAAGGAAAAATCAGTATTTAAAATGAAAGGCTTAGGACACCTGGGTGGCTCAGTAGGTTAAGCATGGGACTTTTACTCAGGTCATGATCTCACAGTTCTTGAGTTCAAGCACCATGTCAGGCTCTGTGCTGACAGCTCAGAGCCTGGAGCCTGCTTCAGATTCTGTTTTTCTCTCTTTTTGCCCCTCCCCTGCTCACGCTGTCTCTCTCTCTCTCTCTCTCAAAAATAAATAAACATTAAATTCTTTTTTAAAAAATGAAAGGCTCAAACTTGCAGATAGAAAGGGCTCATTGAGGTCCTGGGAAAACTCAAAAGAGTCTGTAGTTAAATGCTTTAAGTGACATCAAAACAAAACAAAGCAATACAACAGCAATAGCAAGAAACCCAACTATGCAAGCTTGTACCAATCATGAGAAATTACTTAAGAGTAAGCAAAAATTTCATACTTGCATCCAATTTTTTAAAGTTTATTTATTTATTTTAGGAGAGAGAGAGAGAGACAGAGAGACAGAGATAGAGAATGAGAGGGAGAGGGGAAGAGAGAGAGGGAGACAGAGAATCCCAAGCCAACTCTGTGCTGTCAGCCCAGAGCCCCAAGCAGGGCTCAAATTCATGAACCCACCAACCTTGAATCAAGACCTGAGCCAGAATCAAGAATCAGGGGCTTAACCAATGGAGCCATCCAGAGGCCCCGGATCAAATATTTCTATCACAAACCTAGAAGCTAGAAGATGGTGGATTGCTAAGTAAAGACAGTGGGAGAGCAAATCCCCAACCTAAGGGTTTACTCCCAGGAAAAACTGCATTCCCCTGGGAGTGAGAGAGAAGGGCATTTTGTGGCTCATCTAGAATCCAGCAACTCTGTCCCTCAGAAGCTAATCTGAAGGCAATACCAAAGCAATGAACAGCAGAAGAGACTGCAAGGAAGACCACATGGAAAAGAGGCCTTGGTCAGCCTTGACTCTTGTAATAAAAGAAGGAACTGTTTGGTCCAGAGCCAGGAGGAGGGT